ATTCTAGACTTTCCTTTTTGGAGGCGGGTGTTGATAGTAAGTTGATTCGAGTGCTCCGGGGGTTGGCGAGGATTTGGAATAGTTGAATATCTTTTAAAATGGTGGTTTTTTATTGGCAGTTACTTCAAGATATGTTGTCAACTAGGAAAAACCTTGCTAAGCGTTAGATCATTTATATCGCTAACGGGTTTTGGTGTGCAGTGTGTTTAGGTCAGGTTGAGTTTGTGAACCTTTTTGTGGCAAAATAATATATAAATAAAGAGGTGGTAAAAATCCGACCTCAAAATAGTACAAAAGTCAATCTGGCACAAAAAGTACCAAAAAACAAAATCCAGCCAAAGGATAAAAGAACGGGAAAAAAGAAAAACAACCTACATCGAGAAAAATCCAACAACACCAAACAAAAAAACAAAAGCCCTAAACCAGTAGTCGCACTACGAACCTCCACCCAACAACACACCAGCTAGAAATCCGGCCACTAGACCCACCAACGACAAACCAAAACACCATGGCTACACCAGAACCACTGAACACAGTAAAGCATGCCATACCTCTTGAATCGCTATTGGTTAAGACACTAGATAGGATTTTGAAGCCAGTCGGAGAAAAGGAAGAAGTTCACACATACCTAACTATAAAACCAACTCCAAACCAAAAAAATAATCTTCTCTTTCAACTCCTTCGTGTTTGTTATATTATCAGAAAAATGTTTCTCATTACGCGCTAACCAAATAGACCAAATGACCACAGACCAAATCATGAAAAAAAACTCTCATAGATTAGACTTACCACCTAATGATATGCAAAATCAAATAGATTCTGAAGGTCCCTAGGAAGACCCACCTGAATCCCTAAACACATAAAAATATCATATCATACATTAAAAGCCTGAGAACAAGTAACAAACAAGTGGTTAGATTCAATATAATCCTCACAAAGGATGTAAGAGGTAGCCTTCGGATCCATAATGACCCTCATCTTGAACAGATTCTCTCTAGAGGGAAATCTACCCAAGAAAAGTTTCCAAGAGAAGACCACAACTTTAGAGGGAGCCCAACTATGCCAAGTGAGAGGAAGAGATGGAAAATTCCTAACTAACAAAGGGTCAGAGCCTTGACAAAGATCATGATGGACTTGATAAGATGACGCCATAAAGAAAATATTGTATCTAGAATAACTCCAAATCCACATATCACTCTCCTCACTAAACTGAACCTCTTTGAGGGAAAATAAAAAAGCCAAGACCAGAGATTCTTCCTGGATGAAGAAAGATCTTCTCCGCCTAAGATCCCACACAAATCTCCCATCTCCCTTCCTCCCTACCTCACTAACAGTCCCTTTTCTCATTTTAGAAATAGAAAAGAGACTTTGTAATCTGACTTTAAGAGAAGTTCTGCCTAGCCAAGGATTTTCCCAAAAAGAAGTCTGAAAACTTATTCCCACCTTATTAACTAAACCTAAATCAAACTAATTAGTGGAATTATCCTTTTTAGAACCAAGAAGGAAAATCCTTTTCCACCAGGTTAAACATGAATGAAGACTAGAGAACCTTCCTCTTTGCATGGAAGATACAGTGAACGCACCATACCTAGCTGAAAGAATGTCGAACCACAGACTCGAACCACTCGAAAGAAGTCTCCCTCTCCATTTGGCTAAAAGGACAAGATTAACTAACTGAAGATCTCTAACACTTAAGCCAACAATCTTCTAATACTTATAGACATCAGCCTTCCTCACCCAAGAGATATTTGTATCCCCCTTCGCCCCACCCCAAAAATCTTCTCTTGATCCTCACCAAACTTTTCTTCCCCTTTATAGGCATTTTTAAGAAAGAAAAGAAGAAAGCATGAATAGAATTAAAGATAGAGTTGAGAAGGATTACTCTCCCCCCAAAGCTGACAAACTTATGGCTCCAATAATAGAGTCTCTTCGAGATCAAATTAACTAGGGGTTCTCAGGTAGCAGCCGGTTAAGGATTAGCTCCAGTTGGAAACCCTGGACACCTAAAAGGAAGATACTCAATCTTACAACGAAGAAAGCTCCCAGCTAACTCTAAGAAATAATGATCAACATTTATTTCAATCAAGTTGTTCTTGTGAAAGTTAATCTCACCCAAAGCAAGCTTGAAATCTCTCAAAATAGCTTTGATAGTCCAAATTATCGATCGAGGGATAAACTAAGATAAGTGTATCATCGATATATTAAAGATGAGAAACTTCCAAAGAAGGGCCAACTTTAAATCCAGAGGAAAGGCTGAGATCAAAGGCTCCCTTGATCAACCCACTAAGGCCTTCTGCTACTAGCAGGAAAAGAAAATGAGCTAAGGGGTCTTCTTGCTCCAGATCTCTTTGAATCTAAGTCTCCTCTATGGGGGACCCATTTACCAATACAACCAAGTTACCTGCAAACACACAAGCTTTAATCCAGGATCTCCACTTATCGTTAAAGCCAAACCTAATAATTAAGCATATAATCCAGAAAGCTCCAACTATTTTTTCTGTCATGGACTATTTTTTTATTGTGTGAGGCGGCCTCCTTGATCTGGTATAAGGTCCTTAGTTGGATAGGTTTTCCTTAGCCTCTTGCAAGGTTGATTCTTGGGGTGTTTGAGGTTTTTCAAGGTTTTGGGTTAGGTAAAAAGACTCGTTTAAATCTATTGTCGATTTGACCTTCAATGGTCTGGATAATCTGGAAAATGTTGTTGGTAAATCACTGGATGACTTCGGTTATTGGTTTGACTTGGAAGTGAGTGCATTCTCATGCTATGGTTTCTAATTTATCCTTGCTAAGCTGGGAGCATGACCCACTTTGGTGCCTTCAGTTTGAGAATACGCTCTTTTGCTTTCTGCAGATGATCGAGTTTACCTCTCTCCTGGTGTCTCTTTTAGAGGGTGTGCTGGGTAGGTGTCGTGGGTGGGTAGATTGCATTTTTCTTATGGTGTTGTCGATGTTTGTTGATTGGTTTTTGCCCATTTTTTCATTTATTGTTGCCTTCTCATTAAACACTACTTGAGTGCTTCTTGCCTTTATCGGCTACTATTTCCACTCTCTTGGGTGCTTCTTGTTTATATATATATATATATATATATATATATATATATATATATATGTGTGTGTGATTTGCATTTTTGAAATTAAAAATAATAATAATAATACATAGCATGATACATAGACATTTGGAGTGTGTCATTTTCTATTAAAGTTTAAAAGAATTAGTTTTAAAAAAATTACATGAGACAAACCAGAATTCGCTATATAGCAGAGGTAAAATAATATTAATCTTTAAAAAAATGAAATTACCATAATTAACGTAAAGTCTCACTACTTAGATTAGATTTATAAATATATTATTTTGCTTGTTAAAAAAAATCTAAAGTCTCACTAGCATTAAAAAAAAAAAACCTAAAATCTTGTTTATAAAATAACAAATGCACCAATAAAAATGTACACTGTCTTAATTTTGATAAACCTCACACTCTATTGAACTAAATATTAACATAAATATCAAATTATTTTTAAATACACCACCACTCCCTTCACTAAGTAACACGTTCATCTTTACGTCAATGACTCTAACTACTAGTCGCCTGAAATCAATTTTATTTTTATCTAAATACTTAATCATGTTTCATTCTCTTGAGAAATATTATGTATTTGCCAAATATATAGTAAAAAAATTTCAAGAAATATATATAGTAAAACTTGATGAGACATTGTAAAGATATACTTTGAGTATAAAAAGATCTATATAGCTGTAAATGGCTTAAACAAACCACCGTATAATTATATCCAACAATTAACAAATCCTATGTTTTTACCATGCAATTACTTAAGGACAGGCATAGTAAAAAACTGAAAATGTAATAAACAAAAGAAATATTTCTGTTTATAGTGCAATTTCACAACTGGAAAAAATTCATACATCTACTTCCACTACTTATTTTCAGAAAAAAACCATTTCATTTCAATTTTTTCTTCTTTCAAAGCATCTTTCTTTTCTCTCTCTCATGCATTTTTTTAATAATTGTGATTGGTTTGAAAGAAAGAAAGAAATATACAAAGAAAGAAAGGGCTATAAATAGGGAGAGATAGAAGTAGAACAAGTATATAGTGAAGTTTCATTTCTTTGGGATTACAAAATTTTCCAAAACCTGAAAGTTCAAACCATCACCCAGGTCTGTTTACATTTCCTCTCTCTTTCATATTTGTTCTTTTCTTCTTCCTATAAACTCTTATGGAACCATCATTAACCTATTTATCACTTTCTTTTCTTTCCTTGCTTGCTCAAACTTTCTTTTTCCAATTTTCTCATCAATATTTTATTTACTTTTCTTTTTAATAAAAGTTTTATGGTTTTCTTTTCTTCTATCAGATGGTTTCCAAAAGAAAAGTTAATAAATTAATTTAAAAAATTAATTTTGGTTTGATCACTATTATTTTTGTGTATTTTGTTGGAGCCTAGTACAAGTTAAACAAGGCTTTAATTTAATTTTTAAATAAATATTTTGTTTTTCTTTTTAATTATTTATATTTTTGTGTTAAAACAAAATAATCTTTTTGATCTAATTAATTTCTCTTGAGTTCAACAAGATTTGTTTCAGAAGATGAGGGTTTCTGTCTCTAAATTTTGTTGTTTAATTTCCTTCAAAAACACATCATCTTCAAATCATGGTTATTTTCTTAGATCTTGCTCACAAAGTCACAATAATTTTCATCTTAATTATTCATCTTTCACAAAATTGAAAACTATGTTTGCTCTTACCCTAGCTAGAGTTATACATGATGTATATATACATATATGACTCTTGAATTTTTCATACTAATTAATAATATATAACATGGATTGGATGGATTTTCTTAGATCTAGCTTTCTAGACAAGTTTTTTATTTTTATTTTTGTAAATAATATAATTTATAATTGATTTCCTTTTTTGTATATACTGTTAATTAATTTAATGAAAATAATTTTATTTTATTTTGAATATAGATTTGATCAAGAAATGGGGAGAGGAAAGATTGAGATAAAAAGAATTGAAAATACAACAAATAGGCAAGTGACTTTCTGCAAGAGAAGAAACGGACTTCTGAAAAAAGCTTATGAATTATCAGTTTTGTGTGATGCTGAAGTTGCTCTCATTGTCTTCTCCAGCCGTGGAAGGCTTTATGAGTATTCAAACAATAAGTACGTTTCATTTTTTTATTTTATTTATATATATTTTTTGCATGCCTTTTTATTTCTATTTTTCTCTTTGAGTTTTTTTTTTTTTTTGAGTTAAACTAGTTATAAATTGAAATCTGTTATAAAATTGTTGGTCATTTCTGTGTAGATCTATTGATAATTTAGGCTTAACAATAGGACAGTACCCTGAATATATATATAGGAAAAAAATACAGCTATAACTTAATTTTCTATATCCTTAATTGGAATTGGAATCAATTGTTTCAGTTTGCAAGAGTTTTAGCTCATTGTTAACTACTGTTAAAAGTACTAGTACTATTTTTCTCTCTCAATTATTTACTTGAATATCTTAACTAATTTTACATTTTAAAATTTTATTTTTTTATATTCCTTTAAAAAAAATAAGTATTTTTATTATTCATTCTAATTTAATTTTTTTGTTGTTAAGGGAACTTACTTTTATTTATTTTTTAATGTTGGCTTATGAGAAAAAATTACAATCATAAATTTCAAAATTATTATTTTTTATAAATCAGATATTCGTTGTGTGTAACTGTAAAGACTAATCTTTCAAAGCGAAAAAAAACTATAAGGCAAAATTCTCCAAGAGAATTTATAACCTGAGTTTTATGCGAATTAATTATAAACAATTTTTTTTACAAAAATTCTCATAGGAACCTCACTTAGATTGCTAATTATAATCATGTTAATACATCAAAATAACAATTTAAAAATGATTGAAAGAAGAAAAAAAATAGTGTAATGATATTATGGTGAAGTTGACCTACAAGAATTGAATGGTATATATTATAATAAAAAAAAAACTGAGATCATGAAACAAGAAAGAATGCACAAGAATTTGTTTTGTTCAAGTACAAATCAATCAAAACTTGTCTTTTTGCCTTCCACTTTCGGCTATTGAATCTGTTTCATGTTGAATAGACAAAGAGAGTATGATGATTTTATGTTATAAACATATTGTCCAATAGTTTGGGTTATATATATGTTACCTTTTTCCTTTACATATATTTGCATAAAAAGGGTGAAACATTGGATTTTCTAGGATTTCCATTCACTTTGCTTAGAATTTCTAGTACTACACAAGAGTGAACAAAGAGTACATTCAACATTTAATAATCATCTATACTATTTTTCAAAAGTCTATACTATACTAAGATTCTATGTTTCATTGCATTCATATATATGGACATGTTATGTTATGGAGTGAGTTTGATTTTCTTTTTTTCATAGTACTATTGTACAATTTTTTTGTTATTATAGTTTTCAACCCATAATATCTATAATTTGATAAGTATAAAAAATGAGAATGATGATCGAGTAAAACACATGTGTAGCAGCAGTTTAGATGAGTTGCACTAAAATGGAACCATGCAGACTCTGATATTTATTTCCATTTGGATGATAAGAAATATGAGAATCTGTGAATATATATTGAGAGAAGCAAGAAAAAGTGAATGAAAAAGTTTAATCTATTCAAGAAAATCTCTAACCTTTGTACTTTCATCACTTCATTTTCCCTCCTTTTGACTTCTTCATTGTACTTTGAACAAATTATTAAAATAAAAAAAATACAGTTTTCTTTGTTCAAAACCTTTGTCCTATATTAAAAGTTCTTTTTGCAACAATTAAATATCGAATTTTTGCATGCATAGATTCTGAAAAAAGTGATTATTAATTTCTGATTGATTGATTCTTGTTTGTATACATGTTTGCAGCATTAGGTCAACAATTGATAGGTACAAGAAAGCATGTTCAGATCATTCAAGCACCACAACTACAACTGAAATTAACGCTCAGGTAAATAATTCATCTTAATTCCAACCATTTTTTCTGAGTTTAAGTAACCAAATTATACTACATTAGTAAGTTAATTTTTATTTATATAATATATTGAATCATTTTAATATTATTGCAGTATTATCAGCAAGAATCTGCAAAATTGCGACAACAAATACAGATGCTGCAAAATTCTAACAGGTAAAATCATTAATAACAATATAATAATAATGTTATCGATTTTTAAGTGTTAAACTCGATTGTGGTTTGTAACCGTAATTGTAGACGCAATATAATTTTTTTTAGAGGTTTATGCAATTATTATCAAAGTTTGTGACATACTAACTTGATTAAGTATTAATTTGTTTGTTTTTGATGAATTTGAATTGTAGGCATTTGATGGGTGATGCTTTAAGCACATTGACTGTGAAAGAGCTTAAGCAGCTTGAGAACAGGCTTGAAAGAGGAATCACAAGAATTAGATCAAAGAAAGTAAGATTTAATTAATTAATTAAGTAATTAACTTGTTAATTAGTAAGTAATTATAACATGATGATTATGTATTTTGACTCTCATTTGCTATTTTTTCTTCTTAATGTAACAGCATGAGATGCTATTGGCAGAAATTGAATACTTTCAGAAAAGGGTAATTCACCAAAAATATTTTATATTTATCTCATTTAATTATTTTAATTCCTTATTATTATTGAAAACAATTCTTTGTATCGAAACAGTTTTTAGTTTAATTTAGTCTAAAATATCTATTTTGAAATTATGATCACGATGACGATGAATTACTTTAACGGAAATTTTCCAACAAATCTCTCAATTCTTAAAGGTGATAACTATGAGAATTGGTGTAAACAGATGAAGGTTATATTCTATTTTCAAGATCTTTGGGATATTGTAAAATATGGAGTAGAACCGCTTGATGAAAGAGCTTCAGAAGCGGAATACAAAGAATTGGAGAAGAAGAATTATAAAGTTCTTTTTATAATTCATCAATATGTCAGCCCAGACAATTTCGAAAAGGTTAGTGATGTAGAATCTGCAAAAGAAGCTTGAGAGATTTTCAATAGATCGTTTGGAGGCGCTGAGAAGGTGAAAGAGGTGAGGTTACAAACTCACAAAAGAACGTATGAATTGCTTCAAATGGAAGATAGCAAAAGCATATTTAATTTCTTCACTAAGATTATGAAACTAGTGAATCAAATTAAGAATTGTGGAGAGACGTTAACAACAAGAGCGGTTGTTTCAAAGATTTTGATATCTTTGGCTCCAAAGTTCGACCATGTTGTAGTTTCCATAGAAGAGTCAAAAGATATGTCATCTTTGTCGAAGAAAGAGCTTCAAGGGACGCTTGAATCTCATGATCAAAGAATGGCTGAAAAAGCTGCAAACAATTCGAAGAGTGATGTGGCTCTGCATGCTCAATCAGCAAAAGACAAGAAAGGCAAAGGAAAGTGGTTCGACAATAAAGGTAGAGGTTGCTACAACAATTGGACTTGTAGAAGAAACCAACACGAAGAAAATATGTTGAATCAGAGAAGATCATACAAAGGCAACCAAAGAGGTGGTGTTGCAAATAGAGGAAGAGGTGGTGGTCAAAAACCTGACAAGAGTCACATTCAGTGTTATAATTGTCAGAAGTATGGTTATTATTCTAGTGATTGTCCAGAAAAGCGAAAGAATGAAGAAAGTGATGCAAAGTTCGCAAAGTATGAAGAAGAAGAGATGTTGCTGATGGTCACAACAAGAGATGAAGAAAAATTCAAGAACTAATGGTACTTGGATTCAGGATGCTCATCACACATGTGTGGAAGGAAAAATTGGTTTGTCAACATAAAACCCTCAATGAAGAACATGGTAAAATTCGCAACTGACAATACCCTAGTAGTTGAAGGTATTGATGATGTTATGATTATGAGGAAAGATGGAAAGAGGTCAGTAATTTCCAATGTGTTGTACATACCAAGTATGAAGAGTAATTTGCTCAACATAGGACAGTTGGTTGAAAAGAATTACAAAGTGTCGATCAAAGACAAGATGATGAAAGTCATCGACACAAATGGAAGGTTAATCTTGAAGGCTTCTATGTCTCAAAATTGAACTTAATGTGATAGAGCACAAGTTCCTTTCAACTGCAGCTAGCAAAGATGAATAGATATGGCATTATCGACTAGGTCATCTCAAATTCAGAGATATCAGATATTTAAAGAGAAGAAATATGGTTTCAGGATTTCCAGAAATCGACATTCCAAACAAGGTATGTGAGGAATGTGTGTAGGCGAAGCAGCACAAGAATAGCTTCAGCAAGGATGCAGGAAGCAGGTCGAAGGCTATTCTCGAAGTCATATACTCTGATGTATGTGGACCAATCTAGGTGTATTCGATGGGAGGTAACAAATAATTTGTTACACTCCTAGATGATTTCAGTCGAAATAATGGACTTACCTGATCAAGAAGAAAAGTGAAGTGATCGAGGTATTTACCAAGTTTAAATCTATGGTTGAAAGGAAAAGTGGTCAAAAGCTCAAAGTTTTAAGAACTAGTGGTGGTGGAGAGTATGTGTCAAAGGACTTCGATAAATTATGTGAAAAGAAGGAATTGTGCATGAGGTGGTGCCACTCTACAGTCCACAGCGGAATGGAACCGCAGAAAAGAAGAATCGAATCATCATGAATATGGTGAGAAGTATGTTTAAAGGCAAGCATTTATCTAAAGAGTTTTGGGGTGAAGTTGTGTCAACTGCAACATACATATTGAACAGATGTACGACGAAGAAGTTAGAAGGAATTACTACAGGAGAATGTTAGTTTGGTGTGAAGCCTAGCTTGAGTCATCTGAAGGTATTTGGATCTATTGTACATAGACATGTGTCAGATCAGTTGAGAAGAAAACTTGATGACAAGTCGAGTCAAATGATTCTAGTTGGATATCATTCGACAGGAGGTTACAAGTTGTTTGACCCAGTGAACAAGCATATTGTGATCAGCAGAGATATGATCATAGTTGAGCTTAAAGAATGGGATTGGACTGAAAATGTCAAGAAAGATTATGTGGGAATCCTACTTAAAGAACCAGAAACTCAAGTCGAAATAGAAGTTCGACAAGAAAAACCAGCAGTTATAGATCAACCAAGTACAAGCAGACCTCAAAGAACAAGACACATGTTCGTAAGGTTGCAAGAATGTGTGATTACATCAGATGATGTGGTTGATAATGAATGTGAGCTGGTACATTATGCTTTCTATGTAGATCTTGAACCAGTCAATGCAGCTAGAGCATTGAAGGATTCGAAGTGGATAAAAGCAATGAACGAAGAAGTGAAGTCCATCGAAGACAACAATACTTGGTCACTTGTCTAATTGCCTCAAGGCAAGAAGGCAATTGATATCAAGTGGGTATACAAAGTGAAGATTAATCCCAAAGGGGAAGTAACTCGACACAAAGCAAGGCTTGTGGCGAAAGGATTTCTACGGAAAGAAGAAATAGACTTTGATGAAGTTTTTACACTTGTTGTTAGGATCGAAACAATCAGGTTGGTTGTTGGTCGACAAGAAATAAACAGTTAGCACATATGTCATATGGACGTGAAATGTGCATTCCTGAATGAACCCATAGACGTAGAAGTTTATGTTAAAAAACCAGTTGGATTTGTGAAACATGACGAAGAAAAAAATGTGTACAGACTGCATAAAGCCCTGTATGGATTTAAACAAGCTCCAAGAGCTTGGAATAAGAAGATTGATAGTTTCCTAATGGAGAATAAATTTGTAAAGTTCACAACTGAATATGAAGTATATGTAAGAAGAAGCAATAGTAAATTGTTTATACTATGTCTCTATGTCGATGACTTGTTAATAAGAGGTAGCTGCAAGAAGGAGATGTAAGACTTCAAAGGTGATCTCAGCAAGGAATTTGAAATGTCTGATATGGGTGACATTTCATATTTCCTTGGCATCGAATTCTACAAGAGCAATAGAGGTTTGATGAAGCATCAAAGAAGATATTCAGGAGAAATTCTCAAGAGAATTAAGATGAAAGAATGCAACTCGACTTCGACACCTGCAGAACCAAGACTGTAACTGTCGAAAGATGCAGAAGAAGATGATGTCGATCAAATCCAATACATAAGACTTATGGGGTTATTAAGATACATTTGTCATATGAGGTTTGGCTCAGCATACAGTGTGGGTATGGTAAGTAGATTCATGCAGAAGGCAAAGGTATAATATCTAGCAGCGGCGAAGAGGATACTAAGGTATCTCAAAGAAACTCTCAACTATGACATTTTATTTCCTGCAGTTGATAAGGGAAAAGAATGCAAGTTAGTGGGATACATTGATTCGAGATGGTGTAGTGATGTTGAAGATCAAAAATCCACAGCAGGATATGTCTTTATGCTAGGTGGTGCACTAGTTTCTTAGAGTTCGAGAAAGGAACCAGTAGTGGCATTATCATCATGCGAAGCAGAATACGTAGCTGATTCTCTTTGCGCATGTCAAGCAACATGCATGGTAAACTTGGTCGAAGAAATCACAGGGAAAGATCATGGAGCAATTACCATGAAGATCGACAACATGTCAGCTATCAACCTAGCGAAGAATCTGATAGCTCACGATCGAAGCAAGCACATCGAAATGAGGTTCAACTAACTTCGAGAGCAGGTAGCAGATGAGAATATGAACTTAGAACACTACAGAACTAAGAATCAGATTGCAGACATCATGATGAAAGGTGTGCAAGTCGAAGTATTTCGAAGACTAAGAGCTATGATGAATATAGATAGCTTAGACACAATGAATTAGGTGGTGTGTTGAAAGTAATTTCTTGTGTCGAAGCAGTTTGCTCGACGGAGACAAGGGAATGTCGAAAAGATTTTATTTGATTTAGAAGTGTGGAAACAGTTTGTTACACACAGATTTATTTTAGATTTAAATAGATTTGATTTAGATCTAAAATAGATAGATTTGATTTAGTTTCAAAATATGTATTTTGGGCTTTTATAGTTTTGTGTTTTGATTTAGGGAGTAAGCTAACCTAAATCTATAAATAGGGAGTAATCCTTATTTTTATAATTAAGTCAATCAAGTTGTATTCACAGAATTTGCAGTTGCAAGTGAATAACAGAGTTTTCCACGGTTTATGGACAGGGGAAACTCTGCAGAAAATAATTGTCTTCTCATTCTTTCTTTCTTTTATATTTTTTTCATTGTCATTGTGTGGTGATATCAATCTTGTTCATCAAGATTGATAAAAATTTATCATAGATTTTGATAAAATTTCCAACAATTATATCATTAATTAATTATATGTATTATTTGATTAGGAGATTGAACTGGAAAATGAAAATCTTTGCCTTCGTACTAAGGTTAGTATACAAAAATTCTTTCTTTCACAAACTCAATTCATTCAAAATCATTTTTTACTAAAATAAAATTTTGTTTGAATGGGTTTACTAAAATAAAATTTAAAAATTTTGCTTGCTTGAAATTTGATTAATTTTATTTCCTTCAAACAATGTATATAAGCAAATGCAGATAAGTGAAGTAGAAAGGCTTCCTCAAGTGAACATGGTTTCTGGACAAGAACTGAATGCAATTCAAGCATTAGCATCTCGTAATTTCTTCGATCCAAACATGATGGAAGATGGAACTTCCTACAATCAATCATCAGATAAGAAGATTCTTCATCTTGGGTAATTAACTCATCAATCATATACAATTTTTTTTTTATTGCATTTTACTTGTTCTAATATGTGGATTTTGTTATGTTACAGGTGATTATGGCATTGACTAAATTAATGCATTATTAGTATTTATGTTCATTTGGCAAAGTGACCAATCAAGTCTTCATTTACTTTTTCTTTAATATATATATTATGGATATGGAATTTCTTTTTGTGAGAGTTTATTATAGATTTTATGCATGTGGTGATTGTGTGATATATAATATGACAATGTATGAAGATTGATGGTGAGCTAGCTAATACTATGGTATTGTGGAACCACTTTTATGTTATATCAAATATTTATGCATTTTTCTATCAATATGAACTGCACTAGGATTACTAATTACAATAAAGTTAAAACATCAAAATAATAATTTAAAAATGATAGAAAGAAAAAAAATATAGTGTAATGATATTATGATGAAGTTGACCTACAAGAATTGAATGATACATGATTATAACCAAAAACTCAGATCATGAAATAAGAATGCACCGACACACTGAAACTTATGATTAAATTTAATTTTTTATTTTTTAAAATTATTATTGATGTCATCGTATCAGAGTCGCTGTCAGAGTATCTGTACTTCATAGATAACAAAAGTTGTAATTAGCAATTTTTGAATTTGATGAGTCTATATAGAGTGAAATCTAATTGGATTCTTTGTTAGTGAATGGTGAGTTAGTAATGAAATTTGAGCATAAAAAAAAGATAAAGATGATTGAGTAAACCACGTTTGTACAAGCTGGGCAGCAACACACTCAGTATGGATGAGTTGCACTCAAATGGAAACCATGCAGAGTTTTGCTGTTTATTTCCATTTGGATGATAAGGAATATGAGAATAAGTGCATATATATAAAGAGAAAAAAAAAAGTGATTGAAAAAGTTTCATCTATTTAAGTTTCTGATCTGAAATCTGATTCACTTGTTGAGAGAAAATCTCTTATCTTTTCAAACTTCATACTTTCATCACTTTATATATTTCTTTCTCTCCTTTTGACCAGTTTCAGCCGAAATTATCAGAATAACTTCTTCCTTGTACTTTGTCCTATATTGAAAATTGCTTTTGCAACAATTAAATATTGGATGCTTGCATGCACAGATTCTGAAGAAGAAAAATGATTACTAATTTCTGATTGATTGATTCTTGTTTCTATATTTGCATTGCAGCATTAGGTCAACAATAGACAGGTACAAAAAAGCATGTTCAGATTATTTAATTACAACAACTACCACTGAAATTAACGCTTAGGTAAATAATTAATCTTCCTTTCAGCCATTTTTTCTTAGTTTAAGTAACCAAATTATTCATTAATTGGTTAAGTTTTATTTATATAACATTGAATAATTTCAATATTATTGGAGTATTTTCAGCAAGAATCTCCAAAATTGTGACATCAAATTCAGCTGCTGTAAAATTCTAACAGATAATATTGATAATAATATTATTATCAATTTTTAAGTGTTAAACTTGATTGTTTTCTGGAACCGCAATTGCATATGCAATATAATGGTTTTAGAGGTTTTAACGAAAGAGGAAGAACATATTCACAAGATTAAGATCACACTCTCTTCAAAACATGTTTAAAATCTCGAAAAGGGTTTTCGACAGGATGATTGGATTCGACAAGGTCACCAATTATCTAGGACGTATTACATTTTCTAAGTCTAAGAGGCAGTTAACTGAAGAGATGTCTCAACAAGTGTTACAAATTGAATCAGATATGTTTGGAGGCAGTTAAGAAGTTTGAAGCAATTATCAGTATGATACTTGATTTCTCAGCAGTTACATCCTTAACGACGCGTGGAAGCAAGTTAGAGCATGAAGGCCTAAGTAGTGAGATATGAGTCAAATCTTTAGGATTTAACCGTTGTCGACGGTATGCATTCTTATGCATTATAGTCTGGATCGCAAATCCTCACTGATTCTTTATAGAATTAGAGTACCCAAGTCATCGGGCGAAATAATTTGTGAGATAGGTTAGTCTACGTCCACCCCTTTTAAACTTTCTGCAAATCTTTTACATGTTGAAATAACACCCAAAACTTAGAAAATTCCGAATCAATCTTGATGAACAAGAATCAATCACACTGACCGATTCCACCTCTTGTTCTTCACTCGAGTGAATCAACCACACCTTAGTATCAAGATGATTCTACGCAACAATGATTATGGGAGAAGAAAGAATTGAATTGAGAAAAAAGGAATTAAGGTTTTAACGAAAGAGGAAGAAGAACAGAATATTTCTTCTTTCTCTGATATCGATATTGTTCTGGATTGGGTCTGCCCGTGGCCTAATCACCGGTGAGGCCCAATCCAAGCGTTACAACATACCATGCTGAGCATTAGATTCCCCGGCACACCCCGACCATGGGTGACTGGTCGAATACGACTGCGCCCGCCGGTGCCCGCGAAGAGCGTTCCCGACGAGGGACGTCCCAGACAAGGTACATCTCAATCCGAGCCCTGCTCGAGCACCCTCCTCGTACGACAGACTCTCAACCTCTCCGGATATCTCGGAGTCCTCAGGGTCCCGGAAAGATCGCGTCTTCACCCTCCCTATTTACGGAGAGCATCATCCAGGTAGGGGACCACGTGCAGGCCCCCACTACACACGTAGAACCTGACAGTCCCTTTGTTGGGTCTGTTTGGTCAGCCCAATAAAGGGACCTTGGCCCAGCGGTGGGGGCTATAAATACCCTTTATTTCGAGAGGGTCAGGTATTCATTTCGTACACACCAATATACTTGTTTGCCTGCTCATTTCGTCTCTCACTTTGTCATCAGAGTGTCATGCAGGTACCCCCCCCCCCCCCTCCCCCTCATTTCCTTCAAATCCAATTCGAAGCCAGCCGTGACGGTCCAATTCTGGTCAGATATGATCAGTGGCGCCGTCTGTGGGAAACTAAGCTTCTCCGTCTTATTCACTTAAAAAGACCAAAGCTAAAACCATCATCGACTGTCATGGCTGAGCAGACTCAGAATAACCAGAACATCCGCGTTATTGAAGCTAACAACAACATCGCCGACAAAAATGCCGGCCCCGACAACACCGGCATCATCGGCCATAACATACTCCCCAGCGGCATCATCCCCGGGCCTTCTAACTACCGGGACAGAGCCACGACGTCATCTTCACCAATCCCTCCTCGGCTTGAAGAAGATCCAACCGTCCAATTCTACGAAGTCCTTGTCCCCGCCGGGGCAGACGCCACGACCAGGGCACTGTTCGCGGCAATCAGCCAGACCAACTATCTCATCTTTGCCCAGGGAGAAAGATTGAGAGCACTTGAAGACGACCGAAGTCCCCCTAGAAGACACAAGAGGCCTCAATCCCCTCCTCCTCGAAGAACGGAGGAACGTACCCGATCTCCCCCGCAGAGACAGGATCGGGACTTCTCTTAAAGCCCGTCGATCCGACTAGTCAGGCGGCGACCCCCCTTGGGGAGGGAACCAATCATTGAAGCAGAAAGGCTCGACCACGTCCCTTCACGGAAAGAACGAAGACCTCCCGAGGATAGACACAGAGGAACCTATCAACGGTCACATCGCTCGAGAAACGTCTCGCACGACCAGGGCCATCGTGACCGACAATACATCAAATCCCCGTCTCGTTCCCCGGAACAAAGTGACGAGAACGACCCCCGTGGTCCCTTGTCACAAGCTATCATGGAGGCGCCCATTCCCCCGGGCATGGAGAAGCCTCCCTATTTAAAAGAATATGACGGCGTCGCCGACCTAGTCGACAACATAGACGGGTTCGAGGCCATGCTGCACTACCACAATGTCGGGGGACCAATAAAATGCTAGTTGTTCCCCACGACCCTGAGGAAAGCAGCTATGGACTGGTACAAGGGTCTCGCCCCGGGGTCAATTACCTCGTGGCGAAACTTGAATAACCAATTCATCATCTTGTTCACTGCATTGCGGTGACATCCGAAGACCGAAGTGGCACTCGAGGCCATCGTTCAGAAGCACGATGAGACCTTGAGGGAATTCATCAACCGCTTCAACTGGGAAGCCATCCAGGTCCCTTGCACGGATCATATGAAGAGATACATGCTGGAGAGGGGGCTCCTCCCCGGCACCAAATTCAGGAAAGTCGTGGGCATCGAACCACCCCGAACGTTTGACGCCCTCCTCGAGAAGGCCAGAGCCTACATGGACTACTAGGAGAGAGAGGCGACCAATAGAGCCCGAGACCCCAGGAATCGCGGATCCAGCATCAATCTGCGACAAGATACTGCCCCTCCTTGATGAACCGGGGAAAAAATAAAGGACGACAAACCCCGGGACGCCCGGGAGCAGAGGGGGCCCTCGGAACGGTTCACAGAATACTCTCCACTCACGGCTTCCCGCGAGCGCATCTTAGCGTAGTGCTCGAGTACATACTTTAAAGATGGCGGTGTCAAGCGTCCCCGACCAGCTCCTGCCAAACCCGGGGTGGACCGGAGCAAATACTGTCAGTATCACCGGAGCCACGGGCATCTGACCGAGGACTGCGTCCACCTCAAGGACGCCATCGAGACCCTCATAAAAGGGGGGAGGCTCGCGCAGTATCGGCGAAACGACGCTCCTCATTGTGACTCCAGTGAGACGAGGGAAGCAGAAGAGGATGCCCGACCATCTAACGAGTCGGTTCCCATCTGAACTGCGTTCTCCGTCACAAGACCCGAGGACTTCTACGTCCCTGATCACATGCAAGAACCGTTGTTGACGCACAGCAGGTGGGAACACTTCCCCTCTGCCATGGTCATCAATGATGGAGGTTTCAACGATCTGACCATAAATTCAGCTAAGAGGAAGCTGGACAAATTAGTCGACACAGCCCCCCCTCAAACGGTGACCTTTGAAAAGTGAGGGGCAGGTCGGAGCCAATCACTTTCTATCTTGAGGAGCTCCCCAGTGGGGCCCCCAATTCGGTCATCCCTCTGCTGATAAGAGCGAGAATGGCCAACTTCGACGTACACCACGTCCTCGTCGACGAGGGAAGTTCCGTCGACATGATGTACAGCCAACTGTTATGAACCCTGAAGCTCGACGACTCTC